AAAGAGAGAGAGAGAGAGAGAGAGAGAAAGAGAGAGAGAGAGAGAAACATTGATGTGGGAGAGAAACATGCCCCCACCGGGATGGAACCCGTAACCTGGGTATGTGCCCTGACTAGGAATCAAACTTGCCACCTTTGGGTGTATGAGACAGCGCTCCAACTAACTGAGCCACCGGCCAGGGCAAGGCCTCCTGCTTCCGCAGTAGGTCTCTTTGGCCCCTGGAGCCAAATAACGAAGCCAGAGGCCCTGATTGATGGAGGGCAGCGCAGCCTGGCCCAGTGCGGGCACACACAGATATGTGATACACGAGGTCAGGGATGCCAGGGAAAGAAAGACATGGCCTGTCCCTCCTTCCTTTATCGCCCAAACACGTGAGGGCCTGCCCTAAGCTCAGCCTTTTGGGGAAGACAGGGATGGCATGAGTCTGACCTGGTCTCTCTCTTCCAGGCGCCAAAAACCCAAAGAAGGAAGGACAGCACCGTGGGAGGGGCTGTGAGAGCACAGACAGTCTGGACAGGCACAGGGGCCATCCCGCCTTCCCGGGCAGTCCAAGCAGGAGTCCCAGGGAAGGTGGCAATTAACGTGGAGGGCTGGCACGGCCGTGGCATACTCATGCCAGCTCAGCCTGGTTCAGTGACCCTGAGTGGGGGCAATGAAAGGCTTAGAAAAGACAGACAAGAGAATGAAAGCTGGGTCTCGGTGGGACGCTGCTCCTCTGATGGACAGCGCCCATGCCCACAAGCTGTGTCTTTATTTTTTTATTTTTTAAAATATATTTTATTGATTTTTTTATAGAGAGGAAGAGAGAGGGATAGAGAGTTAGAAACATCAGTGAGAGAGAAACATCGATCAGTTGCCTTCTGCACACCCCCCACTTGGGATGTGCCCTCAACCAAGGTACATGCCCTTGACCAGAATTGAACCTGGGACACTTCAGTCTGCAGGCCGATGCTCTATCCACTGAGCCAAACTGGTTAGGGCTTGTGTCTTTATTTTATAGCAGATGCCACGAGGCAAAGTAAGGGCATGATCAAGTTGTTTACAACATTCATGTGGGTTTCCATCCTACTCAGTTACACGCACCTGAACTCTATCACTCAGGCACGTGGGGCCACGTGTTCGGACCATAGGTTCATGCTTACAGCTACAGCTGTTGGCTATAATTGTGCTGGGAAGGCCCTGCCCTCCAAGCTGGGACTTACACGTGGCAATGAGAAAACTGTGCCCTCTCCTCAGTCCAGGGCTTGAACCTGTCCAAAACACTGTAGCGGCGTCCCACATTAATATGCACTTTTCTGGGAAAAGGTGGGAAGGGCCTGCAAGGTGGAGCGACACCCTGTGCCAGGGCAGGGTGCAGGTAGGAGCAATAAGCAGGCTCGTGCCACTGAAGCTGGGGGTGGGGTCCAGGGAGGCTGGGTGGGGTGGCAGTGAGATCAGGAGGCCTCCCAGGCCAGCTGGCGCACAGGAACTTCCTCCAGGTAGGTGGTGCCACCATTGCAGGTTTCAGGAGGGGCGGGAGAGCCCCAGGGTCACAGTGGTCGGAGAGCCCCAGGGTCACAGTGTAGGGGCTGTCTGTCCAGAGGCTGCCCTGTGAGCCCTTAGCCAAGAAAGCTGCCGCCAAGGGCCTGGCCGGGGCTGGGAAATGAGCTTTGCTGTGGCTTTGGCAGGACGATTGATGGCCTGCTGCTGGGCTCGGCCCCGGCCCCAGAGGCGCCTGCGTCTGCGTCAGGGGCTAATGAAATGCTTGGAAGAGCAGATGGCCTTGGTACAGCAGGTGCTTGAATAACGTCATTTCGTTCAATGTCGTTGCGTTACAACATTGAGGAGATGCCATGGAAACTTGACGCCAGTTTATATCAATTAGCCTGTAATAAAACTGGTTTTGTTAGATGTCATTCTGCTTAAAGTCACGGAACCTATGGACGATGTTAAGTGAGAAGTTACTGAACTTTGGTTAGGAGAGCGCTGTGAGTCCTGCAGGGCCCAAGGCAGGCAGCAGGGGCTGGAGGAGAGGCTGAGTGAGCCCTGGCTGCTGCCCCAGGGCCCAGGAGAAGGCACCTGACCTGAGCCGAGCCCGTGCAAGGTCTCAGCCTGGGCCTGGAGCACCCTGGGGGCCTGCAAGGAACCCCTATTAGTTGGAGGGAGATCTAAATTCTGCATCCCTTTCACCCTCCTACTTGTGCAAACCTCTTAGGGATGGGCCTGTAACATCCATGTATGAGCACTTACAGTGTTCTCAACCTTCTGGCCCTTTAAATACAGTTCCTCATGTGACCCAACCATAACATTATTTTCGTTGCTACTTCATCACTGTCATGTTGCTACTGTTATGAATCGTAATGTAAATATCTGATATGCAGGATGGTCTTAGGCGACAC